TGCCCGGTGATGACTAAGCTGAATATTCAGCAGCATTACTCCAGTCTTCAGTGTCACATCATGCTTCATCAATCGTTCTAATACATGGATTTGCTGTTTAAGAAAAAAATTCTTATCACCATCAGTGTTAAAAAATCAATATGAATCAAGCAGCACAATTTATTAACAGCATTTATCTCAAATAGAAATATTGAATGTCTTTACTGCCACTGTTGATCAATTTAATGCAATATTTGTAAAGGATTCAAAAAATCACTTTTTTAAGGCTGACAGAACGAATGCTGAAGATGAAGCTTTTTGGCCAGAAGTACCTTGAGGGTGGGCCTTGTGTCGGCTTGATGCCACCCAGTACCCGTCCCATTCCCTTTTGTTCCAAGTTGCGCGTGCCTAGCAATTCACAGCAATTGTGTTGGTGCCGGGGAGGCCGGGCTGTGTCCCTTTGTAGTCCAGCCATTGTTCCTGGCACACGCTAGTGTTTGACAGACGCACGTGCTGACAAAGGCCGCACAGCATACCTCTGCTAATTATTTGCTGGGGCCCGCGGAAAGATGAGACGCGGTGACCATCTGTGATCCGTGCTTTTAAGCTCTGTATGCACACCCGTCCGGCCTCTTCAAATCCTTGCCATTGTTGAGCCTCACCCTTTATGTGTTCTTCAGTTTTTTTTTTGGTCTTTTAGGTAAAGTTTTCAAAAACCTAGATCTAGAAGAATCCAGACTGAATTTGTTGGATATTTTGAAGATGACATTTGTCTCCTCTTGAAATATTAAACTTCTGATATTGAAATCCTGGCCAATAATCTCATAATGTCATGCTATGCTGTTAAATTGGTAATTAGTGATTTTTGAAGATTAATTTTAAGGGTGTGTTCACACTTGGTTCGATTAAAACGAACCCTGGTGTGATTTCTCTGTTAGTGGCGTGCGGTTCATTTGAATAAGTGTGAATGCTGCCATCCAAACACTGGTACGCACCAAACAAGTGGACCAAGATTGCTGAAAAGATGGGTCTCGGTCTGCTCCCAAACGGACTCGAATGAAACATTAACGCAACACAGACCAAAGACATGTAAAAGAACCATAAACGGGATATGATCTCACAAGATGCAACCCTAAGAATAACAAAATGCTACACATTTTATAAGCTCTTCACAAGTTCTCAGCTGGTCAAAATACTATTATATGCAGACTACGCACATACATCAAGCGCATTTTTCCCAGCACACAGCATTGTTTTGGATGTTCGGTAAGTTTCGGCACAAAATATACGTGATAAATTCCAACCAATCAGTTTGTGAACATATCCCAATGCTTTTAAGTTCGGTATCTTTATGTTTGGTGTTAAAATGCCCATGTGAATCCTAAGCAAACCAGGACTACATTTTTCTTCTTCTTTTCTTTGGTCCGAACCAACCGAACTGAACTAAGTGTGAACACATCCAAAGTGAGTGTTTGATTATGGAAATCTAAGGTAATTTAAATTTAAAATTGAGGAAATGAGCGTGTGCAATTCAAGTGTTTACATGCTTAATTATTCCTATTGATTGGATTATTTGATTTGAATATCGGATCGAATGAGGTGTTTACATAAAGGCTTTTCATTTGGATTGATTGAGCCATCTCGGATTATTTGGGTGCATGTAAACATAGCTAGTATGTGACTATATAACTAAATTCTCATCAAATTGTAATAGTTAAAATAATGATAATGGGGTGGTGATGGCGCAGTGGATAAGACACATGCCTTTGGTGTAAGAGACCCGGGTTCGAATCCACTGTGAGACACCAATGTGTCCCTGAGCAAGACACTTAACCCCTAGTTGCTCCAGAGGCGTGCGACCTCTGACATTCAGTAATTGTACGCTTTGGATAAAAGCGTCAGCTAAATGAATAAATGTAAATGCAATTCTATATATATATATATATATATATATATATATAGTAATACAATATTCATCTGCTCTAAAATAAATCATGACCATATTCATGATTGTTATCAAGTGGGGAAAGTTTTCAGGAAGCATCTCAGCCTTGGTTGAATGAGTTTTTGTTAAGTCAGAGGCCCCCTTTCTTTCGCAAGGCTTTGTTCCCTAACAACCAGACAAAACATTAATGGAAAGGTGCACTTCCGTGGCTTAAATGACTTTCACTGACTGGTTTAGAGGTGGAGATAACAGTCGTTTCATTCTAGCATGGAGTGCTAACTTCATTCTGTCTGCTTTGCTCTTCTTGCCTTTTAGTTTGAATCAATACACTGTATCTGCCTAGCGAAGGTCATCCAATGCACTGGGTGAAGTGTCCAGACTATAGCCAAGGCTCTACTAAAGCACAATCAATGTAGTCCACAAATAACAGCCGTCTGTAATTGTGGAGTATTGAAGGACATCGAAGGTTTTCAAACAGGTATTTCGGGAATATTTTCAATTTAAAGTGGATTATTTTGAGATAATGTTTTGTAGCATGGCCTTATAGCATAATGGTTTCTACTTCTCTTCCTTTAATAAAACTCTTGGTTGCGTAACACAACAGGGTCAGACAAGTGCATGCCTTTGTTTTTATTTCTAAAATAGATCGGCAGTAGCCTCACGTTGTTCCAAACCCGTAAGACTTTTGTTCATCTTCAGAACACAAATGAAGATCTTTTTGATGAAATCTGAGAGCTTTCTGTCCCGTCATTGACAGCTACGCAACTACCACTTTGATGCTTTATAAAGATTGTAAAATCCATATGAATTGAGTGGTTTAGTCCAAAATTGTCTGAAGAGGCATGATTGCTTTATATGATAAACAGATTGAATTTAGGTTTTTATTGACATATAATTTAGACTTTTACTCACATATTGGCTAATAACTGTTATGGTTCCGATATATTATGCATCCCTAAAATTCTATATGTCAACTGTTGTCATTTAATGGCATGGATAGGGACCAGTGTCATCTGTGATGATAGGTTCATCATTAGCATTTTTTTATTAGTTCCACTCATGCAGTGACGTTCGCCCCATGACCACAAGCAGCTGTCCCACACCATTAGCATAACAAAGTTGTCCACTTCTGCTCCCTGTGTTGGATGCCACTAGGTGTCAAGAAGGAACCATGTGGCATGTCCCAGCCCTGCTGTGGGCCATCTGTGGGCCTGTTCTCCGAGTCCTTTCCACTTATTTTTCCTGACTCACTCTTACCAGTGTGGTGGAAACCTCCATTAAACACACTCTAAAATATGCTGGGTTGTTTTAACCCAACTTTGGGTCAAATATGGACTAACCCAGCCGTTGGGTTAAATTTTTACATTACATTTTTAACCCAACATTTCGGGTTTGTCCATATTTGACCCAAAATTGGGTTAAAACAACCCAGCATTTTTTAGAGTGCATGCTTGAGTCATCACGCCATTCTGCTGCAGTCTAATAATTGTGGGTAATAAATTTAAAAACAGTTTTTGTGTTTATTCAATATATGAACTTGGACGTGGTTGGAGGTCCTGCCATGTTGACATTTGTCAGTCACTGGCCTTTTTCGTGCTTTCCCACCGTGGTCTATTTATTTTCTGTCTTGGGTGTAATGTGAACTGTGCACCCAGTGGCATTTAATTACGTTTTTCAGGGAAACGTAGACTTTGTGGGGGAGAATTGAGTTAGGATGTCAGTGAGCACTGTTGACATTAACTCTGACCTATCGATAGATTTATACACAAGTCAGGTTAATCTTGTGGTATTTAGCCATTTTTAAATTATCGGTTTATTTAAACATGCCTGCTTGGATATTTAACAGAAGTGCTAGCTCTCTAATCTGTTTTGCTCCAATACAAAAAGTAAGAAAATCTGGTAACACTTAATTTTAAGTGTACGTAGTGTTACAAGTACTTTTTTATTTATTTTTTTATTTATTTAGTACAGGGACAGTGCATATTCATAAACATTTCTGTCAATATGCCAGAATTAGCCTAAAGGCGATTTTTCATCTGCAGTCCCTTGACAGATGGTAAGAGTCACCCTAAAAAAGATTACATAGTACATAGCACTAAAAAATTAAAATACATTTAGTAAAATATCTATTATATTAGAATATATAAGTACTTACTATTGTAGTGACAGTAAATTATGCATAATTACAAGTAACAAGCCTTTACCGTAACTCTAAGTACATGTTCTTAATTAATATCACTCAATACTTATTTGAGTAAGTATAATGTAACTATGTCACCTTCAAATAAAGTGTAACTGGAATGTAACTATTACTAAACGTAAAGAAGTTTCATTTTCACTGACATCACTTTGGCCACAATGGACTATTGAATAATGTTAACAAATTAAATAACTATAACTATTTTAGTAAATTTGCATTTGCATTAGCTCCATTCTTTTAATAATTTCTACTTTTTATGATCCAATCAATTACCAATGGAAGTTGTGCCATACTTTTTTTTCTTGTTAAATATCCTGTTTCACTTTGAAATATGTCACATTATGTAAGTATAATTAATATTGATTTTGAAGTGATCATATAATGCCATTTTCATACAAGTTAATTTGATTATTTAGGGTCTAAATGAAAAGTTTGCAATATACTTTAATTAAAAATTCTCATTAGTATTGTAAGAAAACACTAATTTTTCGGACTCGCTCAGTGCAGGTCTGTGTTTAGACGCTGCTGTCAATCAACAATTGTGGGAGGGGTGTCTCATTTGCTATTAAATTTATATTGGTTTTATGCTGTATCAGCCATTGAACACCCTGCCCTCAGCCAATGAAAACCAGTGTATGCTATTTTTCAAAAACACTCCCAGTCATTTGGCAAAGAGATTCTTTGTATAAATATTAGCATTAGGTATGTTAAACTTTCTCCTGACACTTATGCGTAGTTAAACTGTGAATTTTCCCCACCATGTGCCAGGAAGTAGTGTCAAGACAACAATTAGTCAAAATGTGTTTGCAGTAGCACATCATTTCCATGCTTCATTTCTCCCATAGCCTCTTCCTTCCATCAAGCTTTGGTACTCACCCTATACAACCCTTGTAGGAGTGGTTGCCATGGGAGCTGGTTGCCATGCAGTCGAAGGAGGTGGTGATTGGGGGGTGTTGATGTAGATTGGAGTGAGGTATGACGAACAGTGAGGATTCTTAGCGTGACGGACCTCTGGGTGTGATTGCTCTCTGGGTCTCTTGTCAGATCAAACAGGGACCGCAATCATGCCTGTAGTGAAAATTAGAACGAGGGAGGAAAATAGGCAGAGAGAGAAAGAGGAGAGGGCAGGGAGAAACCATGCACATTAGGGGGAGTGAGTTGTTACTAAGATTTAATAATCGAATGCAGTGGAGTTAGAGAGAACAAACAAGGAAGTGGCATCGCTACTGGTCTCTGTGCCTCTTTGGGCCTCGCTGGAGGCTCTCGTCTGCTTGATATCAGTGCTTCTGCGTCAGATGGGTTGCTTTTTATCCCTTGAGGCTTTGAGAACAAGCAGACTGGGCCTGTGTGTTCACATGAGCCTGGGGCTCCCCTCCATGGTGATGGGACTGAATGCAGGGCAGCTTAGGGAAGTCATAGCCCCGCCCTCTGTTGGGACTTTTGGAAGTAAAATGCTCTTTTACATGCTCTAATTTACTTAAATTTTTTATTCTATCATTTACTTACCCTTCTTTCTTTCTATATCCAATGTTTCTAAAGAGACAAGATCAGTTAACCAATTTAATTTAGGCTTTTATTCAAATACAGGGCTTGATGTTAACTTTTTTTTTGCTTACCAGCCTCTGTGGCTAGCGGTTTTCCAAAGTTACCGACCACTCAGCATTTTCACTGGCCACAATTTTGACATCGATGGATACCAAGGGTAAAACATACCATATAGATATTTTTTATATTACCTCATAATTTGGCAACAGGAAAATTATGCTTCTGTCACTTTAAGACCTGACGCACGGATCCATTATACTGTTACACATGCATTTTCTGTCTCAACTTTTTATGTTTACTTAAACATAACTTACTGTGTTTATGTTCCTTGCCAAGACCGGTATTTTGACATTATTTTGTGTTTGTATTTGACTGTTTAAACGCAATAAGCAGCTAAAAAGAGCTCAATTTAGTACATTGGGTGTAAGCACAAAATGTGCGGGAATGAGTAAAATTATGCGCAATACGCGCAAAATTCAAGCCTTGTAACACCAACAATATTCATCTGGAGTAAATTAAATGAGTGAGTGAGAGGAGGCGGGTTTGTGTGTCAACTCGCTGTCCGTGAGATGAGAAAGTGAGCAAGTGGAGCTGGTATCGTGCATCTATTCTGTGGAAAATGACTTGAGTATTGGAAACATTTCAGATATTTCAGGATCGATATATACGGAGAAATGGCAGGTTGTTGGGTGTTTACATATAAACGTTGTTCAGCACATATACGTAATTATGCGAATGGAAGGTCAAACATATTTGCTTGACATGAGAGAATCTATAAAGCCCAAAAGCCATCAGAAGATATGGTTTAAACTGCTCGATTCATGTGGATTACTTTAAGAATTAAAAAAAAAAAATCTTTTTAAAGCATTAAATGTTTGGGTGAATAGATGGTCAGTGGAGGGACAGAAGTCTGAAGAAGAAGTCTTAAAAAATCTTATTTTGAAGATGATTGTGTGAACTAACCCTTTAATGTTCAATTTAATCTTGGCTAAGTTTATAGTTTGTCACATTTTATTATTAGAAATGTGTATAGTATTTTTTATTCATCCAAAGGATTACATTTGAAAAAAGTTTACACATACTCTTTGGAATAGTGTGAGGTGATAATTTCTGTACAATATATGACCAGGAATGTGTTAAATTAAATAGGCTCAGTTTTGATTGTAAAAATAGATTGTAATATTGCAGTATTGTAAGAAATAAAATTGCAATTCATTGATGACGACATTCTCAAATAAAATTACAAATTACAATGAATTAATTTACTCTTAACTGAGCGATTGTTTAATGTGGATCTCTTGTGTCGTGGTATATATGAAGAGTTCAGATGCAAAAGCCTCTAAATGCCATTTGAAATTTTCTTCTTTAATGATGATTTTTATCAAACTTGTATATTTAAGTTCAGTAATTTCACTTAAATGGCAATGATAATTACCTATTAATTGTTATTTAAGTGAAATTACTGAACTTAAATATACAAGCTTGATAAAAATCATCATTAAAGAAGAAAATTTCAAATGGCATTTAGAGGCTTTTGCATCTGAACTCTTCATATGCAGCTGTACAGATTAGTTTACATCATGTATCCTCCTCTGACGGCTCAGTAAAGATACACAGGCATTTGTCATGTTGCTGTTCAGTGCAGGCAGAGGGCAATGTGCCACTGAATCATTGTGACTCTGTCACTATCTAGTATGCGGCTCATACAGTCAAACTACATAAATCTGACCCTGCTTTCACTGACCCTCTAGAGAGAGGAGAACACATTGATTGACTCTTTTTTAACAGACTGGCAACGGAAAGCATGTTTGCCGAGAGGTCCGAGAGAGATTCATATGAGGTCCTCCTATATAGCATAATTATAATTTCAACAGACATCTAATAGCATAGGAATATGTATTTATGCGTCAGTCCATCTAAATTGGAGAGTTTCCTAACCCAAAGTGGTTGTAGAATGAAGTGCTGTGAAATTTTAAATTAATTACGAATTGTTTTAGAAGCAACCAAAATACTTTTCCAAGACTTTGTATGTGATTTTTTCTTTCGAGCTCAAGACCCCTCTGTTTATTGCCTCTGGGTAAAACAGCTACAAAATGCTAGACATGATTAGTCTGGTTAAATGTCCATGTGAATACATTGATCCAGTCCTGCTGGTGGAGCCTCATTTGGGTCATGAGAATTTAGGACAAGTTCAATCAACAGAGCGTGATCAATTCAGCACTAGAGGGAAGCTCCACCAGTCGGACCGGCCAAGAGACTCCCGGTGCAGCGACGTGATGATTTTATACAGTCATCACAAGACGGCTGAAGTTGAAGGAACAGTTATGCTGCCTTCAAGTCCTGTGAATTTGTAAGTCCTAATTATGTGCGTTCAAGTGACTTTGGATATATTGAGCCATTTCATAATTATTATCACATGTACAACAAAATGTAGGGTAAACAAATTCAAAATACTTTCTCCTATCCCAGTTTAATGAGCAGAGACAATAATAAGTAAGGTTGGAAAGTAAACACTATTGTGCTTTTAAAATGTTGCTTGAGCATCATGGCAAGATTGGCTCAACCAATGGTGTGAGTTTGAGGCGGGACTTATTTTATAGTTTCAAGATAGTTTTTAATCATTATGCCACTATTTCAAACTGGAGTCTGAGGAGGACTAATTATTTGATTGTTTAATCATGATCATGGTCACCTGAAGACCTGCAGCGTGCTTTCTTTATTAAGAATAAGTGAAACTGTCGCATAAACAAAGTCGAACAGCCGAAACGTTTGTGAACTTTATCTCCTGTCTATAGTAAAAGATTTTTTGAGTGCAGACCTTGCATTTTTTGGACTAACTATAAACCCAAACGATGTGTCAGTTTTTGGAAAACCTGTTTGAAAATAATTTTGGTTTTTACCAATAACATTGGAGAAATTACGTATTGCACCTTTAAGCATGGTCTACATTTTACTTCACAATTCTTCAGCTGGAGGCACAGAAAATCCAGTAGTAGTTGCGATATTGTGGTGCCTTTGCAAATAATAAATAGATAAATATGGAACATAGGCTATTTATCCATATAAAAATTGGGGGTTTACGAGGGAACTGCAGGGAGTTTGTGAGTTTAAAAAGCTTTACAAAAAATTTAATTTATTTAAAAAATAAAACTTACTAAAAAGGGGTCATTATTATTATCAACCCAAAATCTTCAAGTAAACATTTTTGTTCAAAGTGGTTCCTCAAAAATAACAAAAAGTAAAAAAGAAAAGTATTTCAAATGTTACTATAAATGTTAAGAAAAATGTAACAAAACAATAAAAAGCAATATAAATAATACAACTAAAAAGGCAGAATGTCTTTTTCAATTTTGAAAGGCATTTTGTTACGCAAGTATACTTGAGCAGTATCCAGTGCACTGAGGTCATTCTTCATAACTAAAGCATTAATAGGCTTATAGGAAGCATGCTATGTGCACGTACTGTGTGCTCTATCAGAATAACAAAACTGTCTTTTTTTCATTAGCTATTCTATGAGTAGAAACGATGCCAAGGAAAGAGCTGAGTACAGCTTAGGAACACAGCAAGAGTACAAACGCAACGACACAGACAACTGGCACTGCAGATGGGTGACTGAAAGTGTGTCATCACCATCTCCGGTCTAATCACCTCCGCCCGCGCTCCTCCTCTGTTTCTCTCTCCCCTCCCCTCCCTGTCTCTCTATCTTTCGCTCTCCATCCTCCCCTCGCAGTCTATGTTGTGGAAAGACAAAAAGTTGATTTGTTCCTCAGAGGCTGCAGAGGCAAATTCGCATGTCTCCCTGCGTCTGCGCGTGTTTCTGTAGGCGAGGACACATATGGTGATGAGACTGAGCACATGTGTTATTGTCGCCTCCTCCAAGTTAATCTCTGAAGGGGAGGTGTGGTTTCCTCCTTTTCTTGGAGCCCAGTACTGAATATTCAACAGCTTTTTGCCTCAAGCGTCAGTTTTGACTGCGAAACCATCGGTGGTTCGATTTCGATACTTTACCTGGCTTTGGTCTTCTGCTATCTGTCTAAAATGAGTTTCAGCAGTGACATGGATGAGACGGAAGAGGGGAGGTGAGTTTTTTTTTTTTTTTTCTATTAACAGATGAAGAATTAGCCTCACGGGAATAGGGTAATGGATGTTTTGCTTTATGCCGTGAAATTTGTGTTTATCTAAACACATAGGCCCTTTTAATTTGTACCAGGCAGTGCATCTTACAGATTAGTAACCAAGCTTATTCTGAAGGCTTGTGTTTGGCTAATACTCTTATACAGGAAGTAACTGCATGAGCCTCCATATGGCTCAGATTAATAGATAAATTGATATACCAACTGAATAGATCAGCTGATACTTATCTGTCTGGTTATTATTCGATTTATTTGTTGTTGTGGCTCTCTGCCGTTATCAAATGCATTGTAGGCTGGTTGATCAGAAAACAAACTAACGACTGATCATGTCTGATGTTCCTCTCCTGGAAGGGCATCATTACAGAGAACGCAGTGGACTGAGAGGATTCTCATGTCTCTACCTATCAGTTTCTCTTACTGGTGGCCTTAAAGGGACACGGTTACATACATGAAATGCAGAAGGTAAAATAGGTCACTACACTTGAGAATGAGGAATCATGATTTTCACTAAGAAAATTAGCCCAGTAAACAGGTTAAAACATATATATCAAAACTAATAAGACTTGTTTTCAGAGAATTATGTTTAGATTAGAAGACTTTAGATTAGGGTCCAATTATTAACTAACTATTAACTAGGACTTTTCCCCTAAATAAACTCCCAATTACTGCTTATTAATAGTTAGTATGTAGTTGTTAAGTTTAGGTATTGGGTAGGATTAAGGGAAGTAGAATATCATGCAGAATATGGCACTAATATGTGCTTTATAAATACCAATAAACTGCCAATATAGTAATATGCATGCTCATAAGCAACTTAATAATGAGAATTGGACCCTAAAATAAAGTGTTACCTATTTTTCATACCCATTAGCGATTTTCTTTGAATTTTGATATGATCTTTTGTTTGTCCTGGAACAACATTCGACACTTAAAGAAAAAAGTAAAAATATATAAAAATGAGTATAACAAAACATATTTACCTCAGAAGCAAAATGGTTTACGTACATTATTAGGATTTGTTTACAGAGAACATTTTGTGTGGGTTTTTTAATTTAATATTAATTTTTAAGATAATTCTATGAATATTTCTAATGGAGTAAGAAAAATAATCTTATTATATTACAGTTTTCCTTTATTTATTTTTCCCTATGGATTTATGAATTGTAAGGAAGTCCCAAACCCTTCCCTAAGCCTTACCCTATCTGATTGGTTGATGGGAATGTTGCTTCAAAACAAACAACTATATTGACCCAGGAACACATTCCAGTTGCCCACTGAATTTCATTAATTGACAAGTCAACCATCGTGACTAATCTCTAGTCCAAGGTTATTTAGACGATGGATCAGCCGGACTAAAGCTAGATTGAGCTGATAACTGACAATACATGCAGATCTTTGTTTGACAAAAATATATTTTATGAACATTCAAAATGGTCAGCAATGCTTTGGAAAACCGAGGTATTCCATTTTATCTCAAGGTTGAGTTATTCTTCAAGAGCATCACACATGCTTGTCTAGACAAGGTCAAGCTTCAGCTCTTGAAACCTCCTGGATGTCAATCTACCCACTGTATGTTGGATAATCTATGAGAGACTGTGTACTTGGTTGCCATTTTGTTGAAAAAGGAACCTCAGAGCTATTTTCAATGTCCTGCCCTTCACCCAAAATAAACTAAATCAATAATTCAAGTGAAGACTCAAGAAGACCTTTAGCCATTCTTTCATTGCAGTCTGTCCAGTCTGCACATTCAATAAAAGCTTGTGTGTTTAATTTATTTAGTTTTTAAAATATCCATAAATCTTTGAAATAACACTAACACTGGGAGAGCCGCGATCGAACTGGGTACTAGTTGGCCGTCGATTTACAAAACACTGAAATATATTTTAAAGTATGTCAGTGAGCCTCCGTCTTGTCTTTAATCTTCTTATTTTAAGTTAAAATATATGGATTATGACCAAAGAACCGTCAATATTTCCAATCAATAGGTGTTTTTGGTTATCCTGTAGAAATTTAGTTGTAAGTCTCCCACACTGCTTGATCACGCCCATCATTTCTCCGCTCGGCTTTTAGATTTTCGGGAAGGAAAACAATTCCACAGTCCCCCTTCCAAACTTTTAGGAGACCGGGTATTAGATTTGCACAATCCATACGCACAATGCTTCAGCACGTTTCCCTCGCTCGAAAGCTTGCCAGACCTCCCGCGCCTAGTTATGGTTGCTAAGACACGATTGGCCAGTTGTGGTTTTCGGGCGTGGCTTAGCAAAGGGTCAATTCATTTAATTAAACTTACACGAGTTACAACTAGGGGTGTGCATTGGCACTGCCCTCACAATTCGATTCGATTACGATTCACCAGGTAACGATTCGATTCAATTCGATTCTCCAATGCATTGCGATGCATCAAAATTCTACTGCACACAAAGACAAATTTTCATCAGCTGGGATGTGTCGACTTCTTGTGTTGTTGTTGAAGCCAACTCAGGATGCGAACGATCAACATGGTTCGTGAATCGTGACGTTAGTTGTATTGCCAACGTGTTTGATTTTAGTGTGGCAGGTTTTACACACCGCGTAAGTCTTATTTTCACATGAAATGTGTCTTTCAAATCTTTATTTTTGTTGTTTTGCTCCCGGAAGTAATTGAAACTTCAAAACTTTATTGTCCAAGGCCAGAAAATAAACAGTGACATAATCGACTATGGCACTTTGCCGCATCGATGCTGAATCGTGCATTTCCTGCATTGCAGAATTGATTATTGTTGACACCACTTTATATTGAAAACAGACACTTTCTTGACAGAGGGATTAGAGGAGGAAGACAAAGCAATCACTTCTAGAGAATATTAGGGATGAACTGTTTCAAGCAGGTCACATACATGTAAGGGTTAGATTTTGACGGTTAAATATGGAGATGTAAGTAACTGAGATATATTGCCTCTTTCATCTCTTTTTTTGTCTCTCATCTTTCAAGTTTAGTCTACAAATGCTGTGAGAAGAAACTTGTGAATAATGCCTCTTTCTGTGCTCAAGGTCAGTAGGCCCGGGGAGAGTCTAGGGAGTGCGATAAATGTTTCCAATCAGAAAATATTTACCTCAGGTGGCCATGTGTTGAGGAAGACCAAGGATGAAGATGAACCCGAAAGTGTCCTACTACTCAAAAGGAAATAGGAGGCCTTGTGATAATATCTTATACATTTTGAATGTCTTTGTTCAATGAAAAAATTATTAAATAAGTTTTAATTCAGTATGTGTTACATTTGATTGAATTTTGACCTTGTAATTTTGTCGTTGTTGCATAACTCCATTTCTCCAATCATTTAAGTCCAATTTCCTGTTGGAAGTGAACACAGGCATTTGCTTAGAGCTGAAAACATATCCTAGCGTGATATGATAGCGTGCATGAACATATTCGTACTAGAAAGATTAATCTTTGTCCAATAGTTTAGTGTTGTTCTCTCTTCAGTTTATTTTTTGACTCATACGCATAAGTACTTTGTACTTTATTCCGCATAAACCCCACCCCTGCAAGCTTGCTCAATTTTTGACTGCGATTCCCACATCTCTAAATCTAATCAACAACCGATGCTCTGCCGCTACTTCTTTTTCATTGCAAATCTAAGTAAGATTGCTTTATTGATTGTCTTTTCATATATATATGTTCTACATAGAACATACATATCCATAAAAAATAAACAGCACAGTAACGGAAATATGCCAAATAATAATTATGCCTCTTAAATTGAGCTTGATTTCGGCCTGTGGTGGATTGAGGGAAAATTTGGTTTGGGAAAAGCCTCAGAAGCCCTTGTTGGTTAGGCAGTCTCTGAATCAGCTGTCTCACTGCATTACAGCCCACGGCTGTCTGTCTAACTCTTTAAAGCAACTTGCACACTGACATACATTTTGTAGGAGGATTGTTTTACTAGGACATTGGTTTAGGTTGTGTGCTACCAACATTCATCAGCTTATGCCAGTGAATTCTGATCGAAAACTCCTACGTGATTGAATCGACAGTGTGTAGCCTACTGCAAACCTGAATGACCCACATATTCACACTGGCTGTGAGTGTGAAATGGTCACTGTGTCACTGTCTTTCAGTACTGATGATATTAGCACAGGCCTGTTCCTCTTGGGATAAACAACCCCTTTTCCCCGTCATCTGCAAACACGATTACTTGCGTCTGCTGGATCTGACGTGTGTGGGTGGGTGTAGTGTGTGAGTGCAACCTCAATTTGAGCAGGTGTGATATGGTGTGGCTTCTTTAGACTAGCTGTGACAGATGGCCAGAGAAACAAGTCGACATTGCTCCCTGGGTCAGATAATATTTGCAAACAGGGTTTATAAGGTCTAAAACTGGGTCACTTATGTGCAGCTCTGTACTCCAGAAATATGTGTACCACTCATATTGGACTGTGGTCTCTAATTTGATGAAATATGATGACATAACTTTCAAGGCTGCAGTTACTTGTCCAAAAATACAGTATTATGTGAAATATTACAAATATATTTTCAATGTTGATATATTTTATAATGTGTGATCAAAGCTGAATTTTCAGCATCATTATTCCAGTCTTCAGTGTCACATGATCCTTCAGTAATCATTTGAAAATGCTGATTTGATGCTCAAGAAACTTTTCTTATTATTATCAATGTTGAAAATGTAGGATTCTTTGATGAACACTGAACAGAAAGTTCAAAAGAATAGCATTTTTTTGAATAAAAATTTAAAATGGACATTATAAATGCCACGTTTAATCAAATAAATCTGTTTTAGCTGAATAAATAAAATCAAAAAGACCCCAAACACTAGTGTATATTGAATTTAGAGATGCATGATATCGGAAACATATCGGTTATCAGCCGATATTTGAGTTTTTTTTATTGTATCGGTCAAAAATAGATATTTAATTAATAAGCATTTCTGCAAAAAGAAAAAAAAAGTATC